ATCTGTACAAAAAAAGTTCTGGCATTGGAGGCACTCTACAATTTGGCCTCAAATGCTTTTCCTCCTTTACTTGCTGTATTGTCTCCACCATTCAGGCCAGACTGAACTACTCTGTTACCCAAACCTGTCAGACTCATTCTTCTGCTCTTTATCTCAACTTTACCTCATCTTTGGACCTAAGAAATCCTACCTCTCACTTAAAACCCTTAATGTTTGCTGAATTCTGCACAATGAACTAAGGCAGCAGGCAGGGGCCCTGGGAGGTGCCATAAGTGACAACCAACACCTGATGATGCTTTCAGAGCCCTTTGCCACTTTGCCTTGGCTCACCTCGCTGTGTGCTTGGGAAGCAGAGATGACAGAAGAGACCCAAAACACAACTCATTTCTAGGCTACCTACTTTCAAAATCGAGATTCTCCAATAATTTTTGCACCCAACATAAAGAGGACAAAGTCCCTGCCCAGTAGGAGGGTGTGAACAAATGCCTGCATGTCAACCCAGACCTAGTCAATCTTCTAGCCCCCCAAAACCTAAACGTGAATAGTAGTTTACATAGGGACTGAAGCTGCATGAGGAAAAGGGTGGAGAGAAGAAATGAATAATAAACACAAACGAACATGACAATTTCAGCAAGATAAACTGCAGTGGGTATGGTGATGGTAGAGTATTGCTTTAAGTAGGTTGGTCGGGGAAATCTTTTCTGTAGCAGAGGAGACCAAAGTGAAAGTTCTCCCAAAAGTGCAAACCTCATCATAATTTGCTTTACTTATTGAAAAATGCATGTATCAGCAATAAAAGTGGGACCCAGATTCAAGAAGAGAGACGAAGAGAAGAGGCAAGAGGAAGGGAAAAGTCTGATGTGGTTGGCAGCATTGGGGGGAAGAGAGCGGGAATGGTAAGCAATTAATAGTTACTATTGCTATCCTGGGTCTATGACTAGTGGTGAAAAGAAAGTGAAACTGAAAGTAGAGCGCAAAGCGATGGAGAACGAAATTTGCTCTTATTCCATTTTCTCCTTGGCTAGGGTCTTCCCGCCCTCCTGCCCATGCTAGAAGCACCCCATCAACGGACCGAGAACCCCAGCCTTGCCGCGGAACCCCCACTCCCCGGATTCCACGAGGGTAACATCCTCGCTCCGCCCCCGGGGAGGACTTCCGCGTCCCTGGCCGCCCCGCCCCCGGTGGTTCTGCGCACGCGCGGGGGCCATATTGGCAGCGGACTCCTGGGCAGCGGCGGTGGTTTTCCTTCCGTGAAGTAAAGCGTTCTGTGTAGATCTCGATTCTTCAGTGTCTTCCCTCCGGTGAGCCTTTGCCCCCTGGGGGCTCGCGGGAGCGTGGCCGCTCTCTCCGTGGGCGGGGGTCGCGAGCATCTAGACAGCCGGTCCCGGCCTGCTGCCGCTGCCGAGGAGCCG